AATTATAGCTGGAAGTTGGATTTTAAAACGATAGAATACGATTAGATAGACATTCCTACGTTATGAAATATCTATGATAAAGATAACATAAAAAACCACATTTACTAGACAACTGGATATGTCTCAGCACCTCAGTAGAGTGGAGTGTTATAAAGAAAACTTTCCTCAACAATATCAGATGAGTTGTTTATGTGATAATTCGGAAGATTTATAACACAAGTCTTAGCTTTTCTCCACTTTTCCAGTTTGTTTGAGAGTTGAGCATTCTAAATCAAACGGAGGAACCGATTTGAACAAATAGCTCGGTTACTCTGTACACGTTGAAGCTACCCAATATAGGAGAAGAACCGTGACAGTGATGATAAACACGAGAATATTTCTTTCACCAAACTAAGAAACTTGAATGTGCTAGACAAAACTGAAATGTACTATGTGATCTAAAAGAATATTTAGTCATTTATAAAATGTATGTAGTAGAAGAAAATAGATTACTATAGATGTGAATTAGCTTGGAAAGATATTCTTGTTGAGACTAGTAAAATTACCACGTTTTTATTTGTCTTTCGTATGAAACAAGATTATTTGCTGTACGAAACATCATTCATTCGACAAATTGAACTTAAGACTTAAATTAGGACTTTTCTTTAGTGCATTACAATTTTTGCATACCATAACAAGCGTATTATAATAGAGCTATTATTGACTAAAAGTTGCTTGGAATGTATGCTTAGACCTTTTCAGCAGAGAAATTTTTTGTTATACATTCGGTTTAAGAATACAACTCTTGGACTTATGCCTTGAAGGCTGAATCAAATCCAAGTTTTCAAGTTAGATTTTACGTGCTCAATAAATAAGCCTTTCATAAGTAATCGAAGGACTTGTGTAGAAGGACTGAATCAAAAGTTTCTTTCTCCTCTGAGATGTGTATTTATAAGCAAGAAATTGACAATTTCTGTTCGTTTCAGATTTTCTTTTGGACATGACATAACGGCTTGTTCTAAAGACTTTGTAGTTGTGAACTTTAGTTTATTTTCTGTCCTCAATTGTGACTAGAAAATGACTCAATATTTGTCTCAAATCAATTCCAAAATTGCTGATTTGATTGCTAATTCTCCTACGACACTCACATCAGATGCAATTAAATCTGATAGTAATAAAGATGATGTTCTCTTATTTTTATCCTTGAAAAATGAAATTGATACAACAGAAACAAGTTATAATGGATCTAGCCATAGTCATTCGACTTGGAACTCTGACAGTCAATCAACAAAAGAAATTCAAAATTACTTGTCACGATTAGTTAATTCACAAGCTTGGAAAGAAATCGATTCGGATATTTATGGGATATCGATGGAACATATTCGCAATACTAGTGTAAAGTATTTCGAAGAAGCAATTAAAGCAGTTGCCTGTGTTTGGAAAAAAGAAAATAAATTACGAAATTCCTTGTCGATGCATACGACAATTAGTGCAAATGGCGGTCCATCGATATTTCCGCATTTATTGATCGATTCATCGAAAAAGTCAGAAACAAAGCATACAAACGATGAGAATAAGAATGATGTTGAAAAACTTGATGCTGTCAAACAAAAGCAACGAATTGCTGAAGAACGATTTCAGCAGGTGTCTTATTTCGCTATTCAATCATTGACATCAGTCTTGTTAATTCTTATTCAATCGGCAACAAGAAATGACCCGACGATAGTGCCTCAAATATTGACTCTGACAAGTCAGCTATGTGAACAAATGCCAGTAAAATGCTTATCATCACCGACATTCACATCATCAAGCAGCGTTCTTTTGCTCAGATCACTGCAACCACTGACGAATTATATTTATGATTTGTCTACATCGAATGATCCTTTGATAGCAAAGTCAGCTATACAAAGTCTATTGAATTTTGCTGCCGCCAAAGGATCGTTCAAGTGTATTTTACCCATTCTGTGTAAACTCATATTCAATACAAGCGATGTTTACCATATGCAAGGCCTATTCATACAATTAAACAACGCTCTGTCTGAAGCAATCAATGAACAGGAGCTTGCAAAAAAGGAATCAGAGAAGAAAAAGTCGCATAATTCCGATTCGGAATCTGACTCGGAGTCTGAGTCTGATTCGGATTCAGATTCAGATTCGGATTCTGACTCTAACTACAATTTAGAAAGAGACTCAGAGTCGGACTCAGATGGCGATTTGGAATTGCATGCAGAATCGGATTCAAAGAAATACGAAAGCAACGACGCGACGGAAAATGGTAAGTTAGGTTGAAATATGATTTGTTTAAATTCAAGCTGATAGAAATCAGTGGATAGCAGCGAAAACTAACTTCGTGCAGTAATCAATTCGAGACAGTTAGAAACATCTAGTTCTTCACTGATCATAATGATCTTTCGCTTCTCTTCTGTTTCTCTCAAATATTAGATCCAATGGAACTAAAATTGCTCTTCAATGTTTTAGACACTGATTGAGATAGGCACTTCGAATTTATATTGTTTTCTCTTGTTTCTTTCAATAACTCAAAATTCCTGAAGTACCACCCTAATAGCTATGACTTCTTCATAAAGAAAACTTCTGCAACAACTTCCAAAAATCATCAGAGATGATTTGTTTAATTTAAAATAGATATTCAACCAATGCAGTATCTAACAACTTTAAAAGGATCTAGCTTTATCGCCATTCGTTTCCGGAGATGCAGAGACAGTCCAACATAAGCTTTTTTTGTAAAACGCTGAGCTTGTTCTAGGGCTCATGATTGATTTCAACAGCATTTTTGAAATGCCAAATCATTTTTATTACAAGAAGAATTTAGAAGAAAACTCAAGAGTCAGAATGATTTTTGTTCCTTATTAATGCGAAAAAACTTCAGAGTTCTGCTTAAATTGTTTTGTAATACAAAATTTCAAGATATTGAAGCTTTTCCATAGATACTCTGTAAAACATTCAGCTGCTAAAAATTTATGTATCACAAAGAAACTTCATGCAAAAATCCGAAAAACAATTTCTTCTGCAAGCTAGTCAAGTTAACATGTTGAATCGAGTAAAGTTTACAACCAGATTTCGAAAAAAATCATGTTTCTAAACAACTCCAAGCTTGATGAGAAACTTCACCTAAAATTTAATATCTAACTAGGAATAGGCTATGATCAGTTTGAAACCAAAATTTTACTAAGAAAGACTAAGTCGATATAGTTTCAAAGTCAGTTAAAAAACACAAAACACCAACAAAGAGCTGCCATTTATGTGTTATTTGATAGAGAAACTTGAGTGATGAACGACTGATAAAAAAATCGCAATTCTCTAATTATGTTTTCGAGTCCAGCATATCAATGGCTATCTTTACCAAAGAGAATGATACTACTGGCTTGTTACAGCTCAGAATTCGAAGTATTTTTTTGAATATTTCTATGTAGAGTTATATTCGATTTGAAACATGATGAAATGTTGATGAATACGTCTGATAAATAAATTTATCATGAATCAATTGTATCTAAAAACAAATCCTTTTGATTTAACAAGACTAATGAAATCTAATTGGCTATTTAGGTGAAAAAACATCAATTTCGTTGGATTATTTGAAATCAATTGGAGTATATCCAAACGAACAATTGTTATTAATAGAACAGAACCAGTTTACTGGACAGTTTATTTCATCGATCATTTTGGCACATATTGATTTTGATAATGAAATTCATTCAATTGAACAATTGAACAATGGTTCAATCAATAGTTCCTTCTCATTTGATTTTCATCCAGACACATTTAGACAATTGTTTCAAATTATTCAACAATTGACAATAGAAGATGTATTGCAGACAAGTCCAACGGTTATTTTCATTCTTACTATTTGCTTGAGACTATTCACTACGCATTTGAAATTTTTCTGCGCTGTAAAATCCAATATTAACAAAGAATTATTCTCCACAAATGATGAATGGAGTAAAACTTCTTTATGGAGTCGTTTTCAATCGTCGGATGATGTCGATTTAACTACATTTGCTACGGATATTGAATTAAAACAATGGTTCGAATTATTCTTGAAAATAGTTTATAATGATGATAATAAATGGCAATCTACAACAATATGTGAAGAAGCATCGAGAGCATTGATTTACCTTCTTGACAAAGTAAAGTCATCATTTATTGAAAGATTGTCATTTATATATGAACATATTTTTGAAAATAAACATCCTGCATTGAACAAACAATTGTGGCTCAGATTAAATGACAGAATTACTCTGTTAACTTGGATGGAAATCCTTTGTGATGATAAGGATAGTAAAGTAGAAAAAACCACAGCGTTGACCATATTATATTCATTTATTGATACCTACCTAAATCCGCCACATCACTTCGAAGAAGAACAAAAAGAAAGATTAAAAGAAGTACTATTATCATTTCAGAAACTTTTATTATCTCGAACAATCTTACAATCTTGCAAATCCATTGCTATTCCATTTTTAAAATCAAAAAATAAAAAAGAGAAAACTGAACCTTCTAATGATTCCGTTGCTATTGTCGCTGGCACTTCATCTCTAATAGTTAGTTATATTGCTCGCATATTCACTGATGGTATCAACATGGATAAGATTTCAAATGATTTATTGGAGCCGATTCTTCTCACATTGTGTTTCCTGACAAATACAGAAGAGGAAGTCAACTATACAATTGTTCAACCGATCTTCGCATTCGTTCTACCACGACTAGCTGACTATCTATTGCAAAATCATAACGATGAAGAGAATAAAAACACTTATATGCACTGTATCTCTTGGCTCATAGGTCGCATGAGTCATTTTTTGATCGTTGGTCCGTCGCGAAACTCATTGGAAAAGAAGTATGCTCGGCAATTGAATTCACTTCTGTTTGCCAATGGATATGAGCAAATCAACGATAATAAAACTCAATATTTATCGGATTTATTTCAATCAAATTTAGCTCTCTATAGTCAGTCTACACTTGGCGATTATCAACAATCACTGTCATCGGACAACGAGTTTCTCATGTCTGTTTATGAAAATACTGGTCAAGGTGCACAGTTAATAGAGAAAATGAAAGTTCATGTTAAAGAAAAGCATCGTTTACTACAAAAATCAATTGAAAAATTAGCAAATGATGCCTGTGCTGCTCTATTTGCTGTCTATATAAAACATTATCGACGGATCAATTTAGCCAAATCTGAAATAGCTCGAATGGATAATCGAAAACCACACAGTAAACTTTTGTCCATTTTCGAATATGCCAATCGTGTTCAAACATTATTTGCCAAAACTAGAGGGCAAGGTGGTGATTGTCAAGAACTTTGCAATCATATCAAAACTAATTCACTCTTTCTCTTATTATCTGTAAAGGAAAATCATTTGATTCCAATTATTCATGAAGATGTGAAGGAATCAGGAACAAATATTGCACTCATGGATAATGAACATAAAATAACAACATTGAAACTAAAACGACAAGATTCACGATGGACAAAAGCAAAACTTATTTTTCGAATGCTTCGAAATACATTGCAAGCTTGTATTCAATTGAAAAAATTGATGATGTCTAAGAAAGAAATAAACAATCAAAAACAAGACAATGAACGTATTCTTCATGAAATTATCGACGCATATGTTTATGGAGATTGCTACGAAAACAATATGTCGACTATTGTTGAAGAAAAAAGATCCACATCCGAGCATATGCTTCAATGTATGTCAAAACAAAATGAACGAGCTATGACGAGATTGATTACATATCGATTTAGTGAAATATTTCTTCGGAAATTATTCGACGTTCAAGATAAAAACCGAATTCGTACTATTGCTGCTATTTATTTGCGATATTTGAGACAAACTAATTTAGATTGGTTGTATTTGGAAAATATCGAAGCATCAAATTCTATACTGAAAGAAGAAATCGGTAATAGCTATTATGCGTGTATCAAACTTGTTCTTTCCTATTTGTTACAATCGAATAATTCTGAAACAACAATCTTGGTATCATCGATGTTCAATCTACTGAATTTACCCTATCAATCAATGGATATTTGTAATATGCATTGTTATCAATTTGCTGAAACATTTTTCACATCATTTATTAGTTTAACAGAAAAATTCGATGATCTTACAGTATTGAAAACAAAGTTCATTGAATATAATTGGTTTCGATTGTTCACTTTAAGACTGTGTGAAAACATTCAAATTGAAGAACTGAATGGGATGAAAAACGTACTACTACAAGAACAAAGAGATTTGATTTTTAATAGATTGATTTTCAATGAATTGAAGCAATTGAAAGAAACCTTTGATGTTGCAACAGAAAATCAAGAGCGTGATACTAATAAAGAAAAACATGACTCATTGAATAATGTATCCCTTGAGTGGTTCATCAGAATTGTTACAACGAACGATGATGTATCAAGTATATCAAATTTTCTTTCTTCAAAATCAAGCATTGAACTCTATACTAATCAATGGTTGATCCTTCTTCTTCGATGCATTCATACTTATCAACACGTCCGATCTGTCTGTACTACGATTAATTATATAGAAGAATTTCTTCACATCTATCATCGTAGTCAATCTGTCACCAGCACATCGCTTGTGTTGAAAATATTACGCCATTTAATTCCATTATTATCTGACAGTACTGATAAAATGTCAAGTGTACTTGTAAAAAATCTTTTAGTCGAAGTTTTCAATTCAATTGGTGGAAAATTTAGTGTACAACGTATTACACCAGATATCATTACTGAATTAATCAATTTCTATCGAACGATCATGTCAATTAAATCTCCATGGCAATCGTTAGCCACACAACTTGTTATTGATAGTATTGCTTCGAATTTCAACAACTTCAAGTCATTTGATAATATTGATAAAAGTCAATTGACTGATTTCATTGCATCATTATCTATACTAGGTGGATATATTGAGCCTTATTGTCTAGGTTCGATTGTGAAAATCTATGTCGATAATGGAAATCTTAATGAATCTTATTTGGCATTAATCACAGAAGTAGATATCAATGGCCGAGATTTAGGTACACCTGAACAATCGCCATACTATATTCAATATTTTCAAAAAGACAAGGCTGAATGGGTCTCAGCCGATAAATTAAAACTTGAGATTGATGTTTCACCACCGAATCCATATTTATTTCCTCATGCCGATGAAACAATCGATTTGATTTTGGATAAATTTGCTTCATTCATACAACTGGACACTTCAACATCCAATTCTATAGTTATGTTACAACTGAAACGTCGCTGTATCGGTGCATTATATCAGTTGTTAAATGATAGAAAACTGGTAGAAACATTTATGCAAAAACCTTATGCATTTCTTCTTGCGAAATTAGCTGTTCGTAGTTTTCCATTGCAAACTCGACTTCAGTTGTTTGATTTACGTCATTTTAGTAAAGAACATTTAGAACAATATTGTTTAAGTCTAGACAATTGTGATCATTCAATACAAATAGAAGATGATGATCATAAAAAAGAAAATGTTCATAATGATATGAAGCAGGACGATACAGCTGACCTATCGCCATTTAATGTTTGGGATAATATTCCAATCCATCGTGAGCCAAAGATTGTCGATAATTTAACTGCAAGTACATTGAAATATAATGGATGGAAACCGTATGCATCAAAAGTTGAAATCGAACTATTTAAACCAGGTCGAATAGGAAACGATGACTTATGTGTTGTTCCGATGCCCTATCGAATTCCTACCACATCAGTATTTCAAGAAAGTGGTAATAAATATAAATTTCTAGGATGCATCGATTCGACTAATGACAGCAGCGATGGCAGCTTTCCGACTTACATTATTGATAATGTGCAAGTGAATGAAGGAAAATGGTACTTTTGTGTGAAATTACCACTCGCAGGACTTGTTCAAATTGGATGGGCAACAGCTGGATTTGTGCCTGATTCTCGTAATGGTCTTGGAATAGGCGATGATTCTCATTCATGGTCGTACGATGGATCACGACACGTTCTCTTCCATGATGGTAGTTATGAGTATCCTGTTGATGATATTCATTGGAAAGAAAACGATGTATGCGGATGTGGAATTGAAATCGATGGTGAAAATACACGAATCAAATATTGGTTGAATGGACAATGCTTTGGTACAGCTTTTGCACATCAATCATATCTCGGATCATCACGATTGAAGTGTGATATGAGGCCCAATGGACCAAATACTAGCTACTTTCCCGGTGTCTCTATGCAATCGCATAGTTATTGCTCAAATCGTTGTGAATTCATACTTAGTCCAGAAGATATGATCGAATGCCCATTGCCCGACGGTTACAAGCCACTTATATTACCAAAATTAGTCAACACTGAAAATTCGATTGTGGCCTATCCGTTCAGTGCTTATTTAATAGGAGATGATATGAAAAATTATATCTATACGTCAAGATTGAATACTTCGACGATTCGTCTGCGTAACTTTGTCAATGAAAATCATTTAGAAACCTCATTTATTCTTGATGATCACCATCTAATATTACCAGAAAATAGTGGCGGTTTATTGTTTCCGATCGATAATTTAACGTCTCCATCAACAATTAGCTTTGATTTTAAATTCATAACTACGGTCAATAATGATTCGAATAGCAAAGGCAACGTTCATCTACTAGCATTGAATCCAAACGAACCATTTTCAATAGACATACCAACAGTCAGTGAAGCCAATGAAGAGATACGAATAGCAATCATATTCCATCCGGAAGAACAACAAACAAAACTGTATGTGAATGATAAATGTCGAATATTTTATGGAGGATTTAACCATGAAAAGACAGCTAATCTGATTTTACACATTTTACCCAATGGTGGCGTTGCAATTCGAAATCTTGCAATATGGAAATATGCTTTATCCGAAGAACATATTCATCGTCTATTTACATATGGCCTATCATATGTGGCCAGTGATTATGAGCAATTGAAAGAACATCGAAGGCAAGTCAACGTATTTACATTTAGTGAAAACCAACAGATGTTTGACAATGAATTACTTGTACCATTTAATCAACCATTCGAAAAGAGTTTATGGCAGAAAAAGAAAAAACAAGTCGACAATGATGAATCAAACTATTTTAAAACAATTGATGAAACTAATCGATCTGCTGTGCAGTTATTCGGAAACAAAACTTATCTTGTTTTAGACATATCTACAGAGCATCATCTTGAATTGACATTTGTACTTGATATTTACGTACCGAATTTTCCAAAGAATAATGAGCAACTGATATTAGTAATGTTGAATCCACAATTAAGCATTTACATAGCACATGATGGCCATCTTTGTCTTTCATCCGACAATCAAACCTTGAGCATGAGTACATTAAATTTTCCACTAAACGAATACGTACGTTTTGTTGTTTCAATCGATGATAATTATGGCAAAATCTATCTCAATGGATCATTGGCATTCGAAAATGATCAGTTTACCACAATAACGAATCCCATTTACTTGTTTAAAGAAAAGAATTCAACAACGAATACAACGGGACAAGATACATTGCGAATTCAGTGCAAACTGATTGCTTTTCTAAATCGAACTGTTTCAATAGATTATGTCATGGAATCACCGCAACATGCTCTAGAATCATGGCTTGCGCCACCTCTGTCGCTTGTTTTATCACGTTTAAGTGCTATTGGATACAAAGAAACATGGATTACATCGGTTATCAAACAATCCGAAACATTTACATTGCAAATGGCTGATAAGCTCATTCGTGAACAGAAAGAACAGTTGATCAAAGACGATCTGAAGAATCGGCGAGACCATTATATCAACACTTTATCACAGTTAGCTCCATCTATTGACAAAGAAAAGTTAGAAAATAAGATCATATTCGTCAAACTCGAAAATGAAACTGATTTATTAGCAGTAGCTGAGTTGGTGTTGGCCAGTTGGAATGATATAAAACTACCAACAATTTCAACTGATGACCACGACGAAACAGAAAATGAATCGAGAGACACCAAATGGTTTCAAAAAACTGTACGTGGCTTATCTACCAAAAATAGCTTTACAGAATGGATTCAACACCAATCGATAAATAATCATAACGATGAACTCGTTTATCGACTTCTTGATTTGAATAAACCAGACCTAGAACAATCAGTTATGATGACAATGACAGAAAGTTCACGAAAGATAGTGCAGAAATCGGTACAATATTCACATCGACAACTTTCACAGAAACAATATTTTGATTTACGAATTGCTTGTGAACAAGGATTAATCTCGATCTATGCACGAGAAACAGTTTTCAATCTTCTCAAAATTTGGTCGAACAATGGTCAAAATTTATTTTCAATAGAAAAACTGGGTGATTCTCAATTGATTATCACTTTACTGCGACTAATGGAATATTATTACAGTTCAGTAAATGATCGAGTAAACTCGAATATCGATACCTTGAATATCGTGGCAAAATCTATGCTACAAGCTGAAGTGGATTTATTACTTAAGCACATTAGAGGACATGGTGAAATGAACGCCCATTTATTTCATAATAAAGTTCCATTGCTATATCAACTACAAAAAAATATTATAGGACAATTGATTCTTTTTCTGGTTCAACCATCATTATTAACAAAAGACTATAACGAGCAAACAACTAATATGGATGAGCAAATGATAATTAATCAACCTAATTTGACATTTATTTTCACAATAATAGAAATATTTGCAGAATTACTATCAAATAAATCAGCAATGAATCAACACGAAATTGATTTGATTCTTCCATTTCTATTTCCAGAAATGCTAATCAATCTTATTTTTGATCTATTTCTCGTAGTTCCAATGCATGAACCAAAAATTTTCATCCTTCATTTATTTACAATGTAAGTAAACTAAATTTTGCAATCAGTTCTTCTATCTTAGTTTCCGAGAAGTCCAACCTGCTTTATTTCTTATTTTGGGTCTTGACTTATATGTAGGTATAAATATATTTTTAATAAGTTTCATATACCAATTTCATTTGAGAATTGGTATTTGAAAAGAATCGTACAAAAAAATTTCAGACAGAACAATTATGAACGCATAGATGAACACTGATTCTTCCAACTTTCTTGTGTCAAATATTATAAAGACAGAATTTAAAGTTTACTGTATTTTATAGTTTGATTCAAGCAAGTGAAAATTTCAATTTATATGATCATATTCTTTCTTTCCTCTTCCAATTACTTATCGAACTATCTAAAGATGAAACATCGATGAAAAAGTTTCGAATGTCTGTCATGGATATGTTCTATCTGCTTTCAATTCGTCAGAATGATAAAAAAACTGACATAAGCACTGTGGATAATTTCAGCAAACAATTTCAATCAACATTAGAGGCATGTCCAAAAAATGTTTTCAATCTTTTTATCATGATTGATGTTATCGATGCTTTGATCAATAAGAACAAACAAACACCAATGGTTGAAGCTTTTCTTGCCCAAACCAGTTCTATTCTTGGCGATGATAATATATTGACAGGAGAAGATTTTGAAAAATCCAACAGTTATTTTAATACGATTGCTGACAGAGAATTAATGAGTTTTATGAACCATAATTTAATGGGTGATACTTCGTTCAATGATTTCATTAGTAGTCTGCCTACAGAAACCGAACCAAACCCAACGTTTTTTAAAATTTATCCATCATTGTCAACTATTCCAGCTAATTGTGTACAGATTCGTGTGAAAATTATCTATCAATTGAACATGATTTGTGAAAAAGTTTTGTCCATTATCGATTTGAGTTTGGCACCGAAACAGAGTATTGTAGCAGATCGACTTCGATATGCTAAAGACTATCTATTATATCAGAAGAAGTTTGAATTATTGGAAGAATCATTAGAAAAAACGGACATGGGAAATGTATACAGACCCACGGTTGAGTTTGATCCAGTTAAAGCCACAATAGAAAGTAAAAATGGTGAAAATACCATGTTTTATCAAGCTTATGAACAATTACATAAGAATGCTCATAGATCGTTTCGAAATGAAGATGATCACTTATGGGAAGCAACTTATGTTGGTATGCACAGCATTGATGCAGGTGGACCTTATCGTGATTCAATCACTTGTATTTGTTCAGATATTTGTAGTACACGATTACCGCTGTTCATTTTATGTCCAAATGGACGAGCTAATATCGGCTTGAATCGTGATCGTTGGATACCAAATGTGTTTCCACCGAATGAATCTATTCCAGATACGTTTAAAAATCAATATCGATTCGTTGGACAATTGATGGGTATGGCAATAAGAAAAAAACATTATTTAGATTTGAAATTTCCGGTATTTCTATGGAAACAGTTAGCAAGGGAACAAGTGACAATTGAAGATATTGAAGCAGTTGATATACAATGTTTTAAGATAATCAAAGAAATGAAAGCAAATTTTGCTCAAGATGACCTTATCGATATAAATGTTGATATTAATTATTTGTTTAGTAGTATTATGAGTGAACTTCGATTTGAAGCTGTTAGTTCAGCTGGACAATCATATGAACTTATTCCAGGTGGTAAAGAAATTCCATTGACAGCAGCCAATTTTAAAGATTACTGTACAAAATATCATGAATACCGTCTAAATGAATTTAATCGTCAGATTGAATTTATTCGTCAAGGATTGTATAGTGTTGTTCCATGTTATTATTTGAGTCTATTTACAGCTAGTGAACTTGAAGAAACTGTATGCGGAAAAGGTCATATTGATATAGAACTTTTGAAAAGAAATACACGTTATGGTGATTCAATCAATCAAGATTCTCCACGTATTGAACGATTTTGGACAGTTCTAAATGAAATGTTCAATGACGAACAAAAAAAATCCTTTATTATTTTCGTTTGGGGACGAAGCACATTACCACGTTGTAATGAAGAGTTTACATGCAAATTTCTTATCAATCCTTATTATGAATCACCTGATGAAATAGACAAAGTGCTTCCACGTAAGTTAAATGAGATATTCACTAGTTTGAATACTAGCTTAGAGAACTTCTAGATAAAAAATTGACTAAAATTAACTTTTTTCCAGTCTTTAAATGTCGGAAAAAATTGAGAGGATACGACAAAATCTTTTCATTCGACAATTTTTTTCTGCATTCTTCAGTATTAAGCCACACTCACACCTACCCTAGTGTGTTTATTTCATACTCAATGAGTATTCATTTCCCAGGCAGACAAACGTTAAAAAATAATGCGTTTAAACACGTTTAGATTCCGTAATAACAGAGTTTAAACGGCATTATTATGCCATTTTCAAACGCGTTAAAACACGTAACCTATCTACAACGTGTCAAAACCTGTAATTTTTTCAAAATTTACGCGTTTTTCTGTTGTTGTCGCTATTCCTTTTATGAGTTTAAACGCGTGCACAAGCCTAAAAATATTTTGATACGAGTCTATGTTAAATACAACTTGACTTATTTTTTTTCCTTTGAAACTAGGTTACTACTTGCATCTTCTGTACACTATAATTCACTTACTAAACAAAACTAAGCTTTTTTATGTTAGTATATTGTCTCATGAAATTTAAAACATAAATAGGCAAATTTTAAGATAGGATGTTTCGTATCTATGAAGGAAGTATGCAACTAGGTGTTGATATTTGAACTGATGTTCGACTTGATGAGAACCTATTTATAAACTTTAACATGGAAAAAATATTTAAAACATACTTTTATAAGTTTTATTTTCCTCATATATGATAGATTCCATTTCATAGAGTCTTCATTGATTTTTATTAAATCTAATTCATGGTATAGTGTTTTTTCAAATTTATGTTCGAGTCTTATTGTTAAATGACCTTTTATATATTGATCGTTATCAAAAAGAAATCTTTTAAAATGCACTTCTGTTTCTGTACGTAAACAATAACTAATAAACATGCTAGACATTAAAGTTAAGGACATTTCTTTATATCCTTTATGGCTGGTCATACTACGACAATATCTGTAATTTTTTGTATTAGTTAATATTAACACCCAATGATTTGATGTTCACCGTTTTTTTCGCGAAACGCTACCTATAGTATTACTAGGAAACATGTAAAATAATATTTTTTTTCAGACAAAACAGGAGACATTATCAAACAGATAAGTAGGAATGGTATTTAAGAAAACGTGTTCAAACGCGTTTATTTGCCTGATCTCTGCAGAGGGTCCACCACACACTTCTACAACTCGTATACCCTTTAGACACTTTCACTACATTTTAAAACCCTATTCTAAATATTTTCATAAGCATCGTTACATCAGTTGGAGTAGATAACAAGAAGGTAGAAAAAAACTCTATCTCACGACTGAGTATCTACCACATGAACATATTCTTTTCTGTTTTTTTCTCATTATTTCCCCAATCGATTTCTTTCATTCAAATTCTTTCTTTCTTGTGTTTATTCATTTTTTCAGTTTTCTTTTATGCAGTAACTCATATTTCTTTCATTCGAGTAGCTTTATGATATCATTTCTGCTAGATAATCTATTACATGCATTATGCTGCAGAAATATCCTCATACACATAAGTTTTCTTTTTATCCAGTCAAGATAGGATAAGCATAGCCATAGGAGAAAGATTCTTGCGTAAAGAAAAAGAAATAAGTTCAGTACCCTAGTCAACCTTGTATTAAATTATTTAGTCATATGAACAGTTGACTTAACATCAACAACTATATCAAGTTTCCCTTTTTTTATTCACTCTCTTTCATAACAATCAGTTTTTTATGTTTTGTATTGCGGTCATAGATTCGTAGCAAGACAATAGTCGAATAAGAGAATAGTTGATAACTTCAAAGCATATCTTACATTAGAATAGAATATTGTTAGACGATAAAAAAAAGAATGTTACGGAACTTGCGTATAGTTCAGTTATTTATCCACATATAATTAATTTCAATTAAAATAAAGTAACTAAATTTTATAAGGTAGAGAAACAACTCAACACATCGTGTACGTATTAAGGATACACTTTACATAGTTAGAAAAAATATAGTCTCAACTAACACTCAAGTGATCACGACGTGTTGAGTTGTCTCTCTACCTTGTAATATCTGTTTTATTCAAAATATAAAACATGTAAAAACGCGTTATGAACGCATAGTACTATCTAACACCATAAAAATGTCGTTCGAAATAGCACAGCGTTACTGACGCGTTTAAATGTGCGATTTTAACGAATTGGAACGCCTTTGTTTTTGGGACCGTTTTTACGGGTTTTTTTACTAGTTTTGTCTGACTGGATTTGCTTTGTTTTGTTTTTCATTCTAGGATCGCATACATGTACCTTTACTCTGGATTTACCAGAATATTCGACAAGTGATATTATGTACCAACGTCTAAACTATGCCATCACCAATTGTTCTAGTATTGATGGTGATGGTTAATCGAAATGGACGAACCGTTTTTTTTTTTTGACACAAACAGTGTCACACTTAATCTCGATTTAGTTGAATGATGAAATAAACAAGACAGTTCATAATGAGATTCGAAGCAAACAGGCTTTTGAAACTAGAATATTATATTTGTCATTCAGCATTTGATGTATAAGTAACAGTACAAACATCGAGTGATTTTCATAATATCAATTCATAGCCTTTCAGTTCAAAGTAATTGAGGCAAAGCAGCGATGAGAAAATGTTTTGTTTTTATTATTAGAAATTCAAAAATAGAATTAAGTTACACTACGAACAAAACCAGTTGTTCTCTTCAGGATAAATTAAAGACTTATGCACTGAAGAAAGTTACTTGTCGTTGACGAATTTTCTATTAAATTCTGTTTTTTCAGAAAAACAGAATCTCTTAATGAAATCAATTTGACTGATGTCGAATTTTCTTCGCAAATATTCTGTCAACGAATAAATAAATGAATTAAACTTTAGAAATTGATGTGCTGGGTATCTTTCAAAATTTAATGAAACACTGTACTCGCTTGCCAAAAAATAAAAATAAGAAGACATTAAAGCGATCACTGTTTGAACTACCAATGATATATTCAAAAGATGTTACAATATAAAATAAAAGGAAACTAAGATTGATGACGAACAGTGCTTCATGGTCATGATGAGTATTCTTTACTGTACTCGCTTGAACCAACGACGAGCTTTGACAGTGCCACTCGTCATTTCCTATGATCAAATATTTAAAAAAAATGAGAGACTTAACAAATCACTTACTATTTGTTGTAGTCCTTGATCATCAATAAAACGTGTTACCATCGATTCTTTGCCATTTTTACCCGACAAGGTCTGTACCCATTTTCCATCTTCGAAACGAACGACTGTCTGAAATAAAGTCTCCAAATCAAGGTGGAAATAAGACATGATCAACATACCTGCACTTCACTTCCATCGGGAGTTGTATCTTGAAATTGAATACCGGGTGTAAAACTGATCGATTTAGTTTTTAGTGGCATTTCAGTACGTAGTGTCCATATACCATTATTTTCATTGATAACAAGACGAGTACTCATACTTTTAGCTAACAAACGAATAGCCATTGGAACACCCATTTCTTTCAAGAAACCTTCAAAATTTTCACTGCGAACCTAATAAAATAATATTAGACACAAAAAAGTTGATAGCAATAAGAAGAGAACAACGATCCTACTCACATGTTCCCATGTTCCTATGAGTGCTTCTATATTATTATTACTTGCCATACTCAATATCTAATTCAAATAAATGAGAGAAACCAAATAATTCATAACAAGTCATATTTACCTTATGTTACTATTACTTGCTAACCATAACGTGCTAATAAAAATAATGCCTATTACGAAACGATAATAAACACACGTGAAAATGACGATACTTTACATCAAAGTGTTTACCATCGTCAACACAGTGTCGCTACATAAACACATCAGCAAGGTATGATGCACAAATATTATCATAGTCATCAGAGAAAAAGAAAAAAGAACGTATGAGAAGGACAACATCATACATATTGGATGTGTGGAAATACAACACTGTTGATGCTACATATTTATACCTGTGAAGACGAAGTTTATTAATCTCAAAAAAATACTTTTATGTATTTAAATTGAATGCGGACATGAGTATCTTCTTCAGAACCACAAAAAAAGGTTGATTATGTATATGACTTTTCATTGATTCTTGTTTTGAGAAAATTTGGCAGCGTTAAAATTTCATGCAGACGAGATAATATTTCATGATCAGCCATATCAGCAATAGATATCGTATATTAAGCCATAAAACAAACTATGCATCACGCTCGTTATCTCGCTTCTGGAATTGACGAAGTCTGATAAATTCTGTATAGGTTTATATTGCGTACAGGAAAGAAAAACATGAATTAATTCCGCAATAACTAAGACGTATTTTTTCTTCTGTATTCACTGCAACAATCTTTCTCTTATCAAAAAAGATAAAGGGGTTGCTAATTTTCAAGTGTTTTACGACTGAATTAAAAGTTGTATTTCTCTCACTTAATAAATATATCAAAAATAAAATTAGTTGTTCGGCACAGCAAACAAGAAGCATCACATCATATCAACATAATACTTCCTTAACAAGCGTTATTGCCGCATTAGACGAATTTAAAAGGCAAGAAAATGGGTTCCGGTGCCAGCTTTCAATGCTCGGTGTGCACAAGTGCCTCATATGGTCGCTGTGATCATTGTGGACGACGCTTTTGTCCTACACATTTTCGTAGTCATGCCTGTACAGGAGTTCATGGCTATGGAAGAACAACCATTCGCTTGAAACCGGAGTGTGAATCATGTAACAGTGACGCTGTTGGAACTTGTAATGGATGTGGAAAGAAAGTATGCTCGAGATGTTTCTCGTGGAATCATAAGGAGCAGTGTGGCTACACATATTATCGATGAACTCTCTCCTTCTCTTTTTGCCAATAATGACTTTTTATGTACACAAATCAAGAAAAAATTTAACCATAATAAATGAAGATATACTTTTTTGAATATTTGTAGTATGATTATAATGATTGTTTCAGTTATTTCATAGCTAAACAAAGACTACGGATAAAAATATAAAATACTCTTGGTGGACATTCGATATGATGTCAGACGAATGGTTATCACGACTAGCGTTTAGAAACGTTTATTTTAAAACTATAGTTAAGACATTTCAGAAGACATACAAAACTATGTAACACTTTTTATATAAACATGTTGAGATATCATTTTTCGTGTTTACTCTGTTCCTGTGAGCGTTTTAATGACAGTTGAGATGGAAGCCAATTTAAAAGTTGCTGTAGTCCACAAGGTTCTATACATTGTGGACATGTACGCCTATAATAAAACCAATCGGCGATACATTTTTTATGAAAAACATGACCACAAGTAGTAATTACACTATTTGTATGATACATTGGTTCATAACAAATACTGCAATCATCATAATAATGTGTAATATCTAATTTTATAATTGTTATAGATTTCATATATGCTAATATATCTTCAGTTGGTATTTTTATTTTAGTAAAACGTTCAACAACATTACATACTGATGATAACCAAGAATTATGATCATTTGGTTTCGGAAAATAATAAAAATTACTCGAATGAATAACATCAAATTTAACATTATCTAAAAAACGTTTTCGTATATCTTTCAAAAGAGAATCTACTTGTTGATTGCTATGTGTTTGAAGATCACCAAATATAACATTTCCAACTCTATTGATAAGATCAATAATTTTTTCATCATCTTTATTTATATTTAAAAAAGTTTCTGTGTTCATATTCTCTTCGTTACAATGTGTAAAAATAAGTGTACACCATTTTAAACCACCATCACCAAAAACAGAAATAATTAAATCTATATACCGCCAAATATCAATAGAAATTCTTCCATACTGAACACATAAAAAAATTTTGTTATAACCGATAACAGCATTATCAATCAATTGTTTTACCAATGTAACTATTTCATCTGTTGTAAATCTAGTATCACCAAAACCAATGGAATCTGTATAAGCATATTTATTATTGCCATAATAAGTAGTAAAATTTTTTGTAACACCATTTGTTGTTGCACCAACTGGAGCTGGTGCATTCATAGCTTCTTTTCTGACATCATCATTACATAGAACATTGATCAATGAAGATTTTCCTACTCCAGTTGGACCAAGAAATAAGAAACGTTTTTTCACATCCATTCAAAAAAAATAAATACAAGAAAATTGTTAGTTATTATGTTGCAATAGTAGAGAATCTCAATTATTTAATAATACAGACGAATAACTAATTCAAGATCACTGAATATAAAGTCATATGAAAATGTTCACAAAAATGTTTATTGCGTAACAGTAAATAAATAGTTTTGTTATTTCTAAGTAGTGACAACAATCACTCTAACCAACCATTTGTGTTGACAGAATAGAGAAAAAAACCAATTTTTACTGAAAGATGTCGCAATTGTATGTGTGAAGGTGGAAGTGTAAGAGAAGAGAATATCAAAATTTGTATCCTTGATGTAATTTTTTTGATATCTGATCAACTATTCACTATTTTCTTATTGAATATGTACGATAGAAAATAGCTTTTTTGATGATTTTGAAAAATATTCTGTTGTACATCTATTTTCTTTTATTATATTGAACGTATTAAAAAATGACAAAAACAAATTTATTTGAATATAATCTATCATTAACTACTCTACTCAGATTTTGTTATCAACTAAGAATAAAGAATTCTAAATTGATTCATTTTCGATCATAACCAAGATTTTGACAGCAATATCAGAAACAATTACATTAATAGTGTATTAAGTTTTTATCAGGGTCTATTTGAGAATTGTGATGAACAGAACATTCTCACATTTCTACACATGTCTGCATCCATACCCTCATTCAATTATGAATGATTAGATCCTATCAAGCACTCCCTCACGAATCCATAAAACAAGATCGAATGGATGAAATCATCTAGAAAAGAGGAATGTCATGTGACCATCTTGGATGATTTCGTTACTATGTTCAACTATCCAACAAAAATTGCTGATTCGATCAGAAATCACACATAAAACTTCTTTGTTGTTGTTGTTGTCTGTACGACTAATAAGACACAAATTGAGAGATGAAAATTTCAAGTTGAAGCTAGTCATATTGATTCTAGTATTAAGATTCTAGTTCCATTCTGAAATCGAATGTTCGTCGGGTGTCTAATCATTTTATCTTCGACATTCTCTTTATAAACAAAGTGAAGGTTGTTTTTCAAGTATTATTTATTGAATTATTTTCTTGTTAAAGAATTGGATTGATTCGAACTATATAAAGTTGAGTGTCATCAGTGTCAGCAGAAATCTGTATATTCAACGAATGTTGATCAATTCGAAGGGCATCGTGTTTTGTCATTTGAATTCCGTTGTTCGTCATCACATGTCCTTGACCAACGACGATAAACACGATTTCATTGCTGTGGTCCAAGACATTGATTATTTTTTCTTGTCTAGATTTCATTTTGACACGTTCTACATCATGTCGAAATTTATTGCGTCGTGTCATCACATTAAAATCGGTCAATGTTTCGCCGTGTAATTGACAAGTAATGGATAATTCACCAGGAAATGAATAAGGCAACGAATCTTGATTGAGATGAATCATATCATTATAATTATTATTGAGCATCAGTTCGAGTTCATGCTGACTAATAACACACAGAGTTCGATCGATGCCAGGAAAGATAGAAAAAGGACCACCAGGAGGTTTCACTTGTGCTATACTTAATCGCCAATCAAATTCTTCTTGTTCATTGTTTGGCGCACGAGCAATCTCACTAGTAGTTCCACCTCCGTTCTTCCACACCATCTGTTTGTGTTCATTGGCTCGAAGAAGCATTTTTGTTTATCTAAAAGAAACAGAAAACAAGTAGAATTATTTCTTCATTGCATTTAATAGAAGCTTTGCAGAGCTTCACGCGATATTGTTCTGAGAGCGACTCTGATTAAAATTGAAAATATACTTACTTAGAAAACTAGATAAAAAGAATATTCTCAATTAGCAAAATATGTCTTTTTATGAGTAAATCCTTACCAAATGAAAGAATAGTCATTGATATAAGTGTTACCTTCGTTCTTTTCTTTTCTTTAATACATCGTTTGCACACAGCAGAAAAAGAAAGCATATCATAAAACACACACATGGATTGGCTCACATGGTTTAATGAATTGTGATCCGTCTTTTAAGCGAGTATACCCAGCTTGATGTTGATACTGCTTTTTATTCGATTGTTTTTATCCAATCGGAAACAAAGAAAAGTTGGTTTTAGTATTTCTATCAATGTCATACAACATCTTGTATGAATTGGTATCAGCTATATGTTAAAATAAATGGTTAATGTGGAGTAAACATTACTACATGTATTGAAGTAATCTGAATGTATGATCCATTCTTCTAATCTTGATTTATTTCTCCAGCGATTGATTCAAATCTTGATGAATCTTCGAAAGCAATGAAAATTATTTAAAATAAATCAAATTTCATGTGTTTCAAGTACTTACTATTATCAAATGTATATTCTCACAGGTATTGAATAATCTCAATTTAATTCAATTACATTTTGGATTTTAAAATGTAGTTTTAAGCGAATATGCACGGAGTCTATGCCTGTAGTAATGCTGAAATTTTTTCTATTTTCACGTACAATGGTGTCAGAAGCTGTTTAGTTAGCTTGTTTACTGAAATAAAAAATATTAATTCAGCTACACCAAATCGAATGGTCTTTATTCGATACTTAAACTTGATGCCATTATTTACATGAACATCGGTACTTCAACGCAATCGAATCTTGTTCAATGTCTTGTCGGATTATCCATCCTTTGTCTTGTGGATCGATCTTATTTACTGGACAAAGTCTCAATTCTGTAGGTTTTCGTCCAGTTGTTGCTCAATGGAAAGATACACTAAATGTATTGAATCAATACAAAGCCATTCTATTCAATTTCACTGGAACATATAAAGGAATTTGATTATAGTTCACCAGTCCTCAACCTGATAATCGTTATTATGTACATTATGATTATGCTTTTCTACTCAATGAAACACAAATCGGCCGAGGGAAAACACTCTACCATCGAGGAACTCAAATTTATATCACTAACTAACAGGCAGTATTTGTCAATGCCCCATCTCTGATACATCAGAGCGCATGAAAGTAATCAATATATGACTAATTAAATATCTTATCTTTGTTTGCACTATTCGAATCGTTATTAGAGCGTCTCATTTAAGATATACCAGTTTTCTAATCAACAACAAATAGATTTCTCAATTTTTTTTTTGTTAGAGTTTATTAGAGTGATCATGAAAGAGAAATGCATGTTTATTTTGCACCAACAATGAAACAAGGACTTTTCCATGAAAAACAATCATAACCATAGGGTGACAGCTATTACTCTTGCGATCACGACGTTGATTAAAATTGCATTAGTATGAAATTCCATCATTTTCCTAGCCTAAGAATTATAAGAAAGATATAATTTTAAGAATATTTTGCAGACAAATTTTTAGACCCTTCATTTTTCAGTTTCGAACAACTGGCTTAAAAAAATATAATTTGCACATTCAAAACAAAAAAAATCAAACCAAACTGAAAAATGTGTCAAGAAATATTCTATAATTTAGAAACACGTTCAGAAATCTAGCAATTTTCTTGTTAGATTTACTATATTAAACCATTGTTACAAGAATATTCATTTTTGTCTTATATAATCATACCGTACAGCCTTATAACTCAGCATTTTGGCAGCTTGATAAGAGAATCGACGTACAGAATGATTTATATCTATTTTCACCTCTCAGTCTTCTTCAAAGATTTGTATAGTATCATTTATAGTTTATCTTCAGTTCTCTCAACTTTCATTAAAATTAAACCAAGTAAAAAAAGGAATATTTCAGACAATGTTGTTTTTACAATAATACATTCATTTACAAACAAATGAGCTAATAAAGTTTATTCCATGAATTTTTCATAATAATTGATTTTTGTTTCTCTGTCATTACACATATGCATATCCCTATCTGAATCTTGCAATGAATATTGAATAATAGTCAAAGTTCTATTTGAGAAAACAATGCTTTTCGATCGAAAACTTCTTTAATCCATCATTCCAATGATGGAAAGATTCGTGTGTGTTGGGAAAGGAGATCAAGTTTAGCTGAAGCGGCTTCGTTCGTTGGGAACTCAAAACTTCATTGAAGAGGCTCAGTACATTCTAGCCATTTGTTAGTTATGTTACTAAAATTTAAATAACTGACCTTTCCATGTAAAAGTAATGAGAAAAATCTGATATTAAAGGATTTTTAATTGATCAGAAATCGACAATAATTCAAAATAATCCAAAGAACCAAAATATGATTGATTATGCCTATGTTTTCGATTAAAATCGATTTTATTCAGATTTTTAGCCTTGCTTTTTTTTCTTACATGGGCAATCAAAAGTAATGTTGGTAGATAATAATCGGTTCTCTTTTCATTTTATCTTCGAACGAAAAAAAAAACAAAGGCGCTATCATGCATACATGCGAGAGGCATAAAGTAGTAGAAGAACGACGTTCGAGCAATTATAAAAGGTAGACTATTAAGCTAGCAAACAATAATATATCATTGTATCGCACCTCTCACTACTCACCAAACACAAAAATACTTATCTTCAACGCATTTTTTCAAACCTATACGAAACATTTGAAGCTCTCACATTCAACGACTAGAACTAAGTGTAAGCTTTTTCTTTATGAAGTAACAGAAAAATACCAACAACGATCACTGTCTCTTGCATTCATTATTATTTAGAATGTATTGATTATGTTTAGAAATTTATTTTTACCCATACAAAAAGATTCACTCTCGATTGTTCTATGATTATTGTCTCATATTACAGGGATACCTAATTCAGCTCTTTATTTCACGAAGTTAGAAAAAAATCTTGTTTTCTATTTCTCTATTACGATCTGTTGTACATATGTGAGTCCAGACGTGAGTCGATATGTATAAGAAATAATTGGTGTAATAGTTATGAGACTAAAAACTTTCGTACCAGAACTTCACAGGATAGCAAAAGGTCTTCCCCTCTTGTTCAAGAATGGAACGAGATTACTCTCACATTCTACAGAGCTCTCATGTTGCCTTCCTATTTTAAAATAAAATAATAATCGCGATTCAAAAATAGGTTTTATCATTTTCTTTCATGAGATAAAGCCTTCCATATAGAGCCATGTTACAACATCTTCATTCTTTTTTTTTTGTACTCGTTCTAGCCAAAACTTTTTCTATTAGACATCTATGCTGAGATCTGCATCAGTATTTATAACTAATATAATTATTCGTATGTTTCATTTAAGATTTGTTTACATTATCAATTATATTATAACGCATACATCAACAATGATATATCAAAACCCGGCTGAATTACGACATGATATCCGTTCGGGTCAGTTTACTTCTACGACAAGTAGTCAATGTCCAGGTTATATACAAGCGAACATGGTTATTTTACCGAAAACAGTCGCCAATCAGTTTCATCAGTTTTGTCAGTTGAATCCAAGAGCATGTCCTCTTTTAGAAGTGTTACCATCGGGTTCGTATACACCTACTAAATTAGCTAAAGCTGATGCAGATGTTCGAACGGATTTGCCAAAATATCGCGTTTATCAAAATGGACAATTAATTAAAGAAGTAACTGATATAAAAGAATATTGGAACGATGATATGGTCACTTTTCTAATGGGTTGTTCATTTTCATTTGAAGATGCATTACAACAACATGGAATTCGAATTAAAAATATTGATCAAAATAAAAATGTAGCTATGTATAAGTGTTCAAAAATTATATGCAATGGACCTTTTGAAAATGTTTCATTAATCGTATCAATGAGACCAATTCGAAATGATCAAGTTGCTTTAGCTGAACAAATAACAGGTGAAAAAAGGTTTGAAAAAACACATGGGAAACCATTGTATTGTGGTCATAATTATGTGGAAAAGTTGGGTGTCAATCAAGATTTGAATCAAGTTGATTTTGGTGATTCGGTAGATATTGATCGACAAACAGAAACACCATGTTTTTGGTATTGTGGTGTAACAGGAATTATGGCTGCACTTGAAGCTAGTAAAATAGAACAAGGAATATGTATAACACATTCTCCAGGACATATGTTTGTTAGTGATGTTAGAGATGATGAAGAAATTTTATAACAACATATTGATAGATTGTAAAATCATATCTATTAAACTATAGTGATAACTAATAATAAAACTTTATAATGGCGAAGAATTGCGAAGAACACTTGGGATAGGTGTGAGCCATTGTTAGAATAGAACACTTGCCTACACCCACACTCCTCCGTTGAAAAGCGCTATCAAAGTAGCGAAAAATACTGTATACAAGTAAGGATACTAGCGACTCTGATGGAATAGTAAGAATTTATCGACAGTGTTATCTCATAATGTTTGAAAGCTGTGGATCAGATGTTACTCAGGGAAGGTTTCCACTATTAACCAAATGAGGAAGACTATTCTTTCATGGATACGTTCATTTTCATGAATAGAGTTACGGCATGTGTATCAAACCTAAGCATTGTAAATCTTATCATTCGACAACCATCCACTTCTCAATCCTTCTCATGTAATATTCTTGTAATATCAACACTACTCATACCATCACATATAGTATGATCACCAAAGCAAATTTCTTGTCATCGCTGAAGACAACATCTACTTGAAGGAAAAACTCGATTATTATTGACAGCTATTGTATGTCCGAAGTAAAAGACTTCAAAACCAGCGCTCATGTCGATGATCTAATCAAGCAAATAGGTATCCATTCTCATCTGGATCAGTCAGAAGTGAAATCGACATAAATTTTTATTCGATGTTTCTTTTGGAGATCATGAGACGAAATCGTACATTTCTAATTGATGCACTACTGTTACTACTACTAATACTAATAATAAAAGGCACATGCGATCATAATTTAGGAAGAACAACAATCATGAAGAAGTTCCAGAAAACGAAACAAACATAGAGCAGTTTTGGAACGGATAGAGTTTGAGCACATGTGTGAAATTGTTAATCATTCCATCCGTTTGCTATTACTTGATTCACTTTCACATTCATGATTTGAAATAAAATAATGATATTTCAACGAGTATAAACAATTTTGGGAAAGTCTATTATGTGAACTTGCTTTTATTTCTTGTTGAATCTTCGTTTATAATCGCGTAACGATTCATCATAGTCTTATTATAACTATTATATGGATTTTGGTCATTCGTCTGTTCATCAGGTACGGTATGAGAATATTTTAGCATTGATTCGAACATTTCATTTTGATATGGATTGACACAAAATCTTTCATGCTTAGAAGGAAAAAAAACTGTACACTACTGATGACACTTCACTTCATATACATACGTTTTTGTCGCTGCGTTGTCTGACATGAACAAAACTTAAACAAAATAAACAAAAATTAAACAGTTTAACCGTTCGAGAAAGTCTTTAACATTTCAATGTTAGCCTTTACGAGAAACCTAAACAGACAAGACTGAATATATCGAAAGCTTTCTCAAGTAAATGCCATATGATCATAGATGTCATAATACCATTACACTGGGTATCGAGAGCCAACCGTCAAAATGCCCGCAGAGTAATCAAGTGTATTCACTTTTCCGATCTATAATTTACGAACAGGAGTAATGACTTTAATACTCCGTACATAAACTATATACCGTACAAGTTCAGCGTTTTGAGTGGATTTGGTGTAACGATGTCATGACCCCGGGGTAATACACCAAAACCACTCAAAACGCTCAACTTTACAAAGTATATAGTTTCTATTGCACACAGCGATGTCATTACTAATTAGTTTAAAAATAAAGATATGACGAGATCTGTTGATATTGTCGAAAGGCGCAAAATTTTTTTTTTTGTCTTGAATGATCGGCTACTGTTGCTCAGAAAAAAGTGCAAAGTAATGGTGCAAGACGTAGAAATTTATCTCTGTTTCTAAAAAGCTCTTGTCTAAAATCATTTTAGTCAAATATAATGTTTACTATTGTCATTGTTCATAAAAATTATTTTACTCGTATTCTACAGTATTTTGACAATAAAAAAGAAATTCATCGAATCGAAAAAAGAAAACATCTGACCTTGATTTTTATTTTGTACTAAAAAGACTTTGCCCAACAAAGAACTTGTTCGATGTAATAATTGAAAACCATCTGTTTGTATGTTCACATCATTAGCAACTTCTTTCATTATCTCTTCGATATCTTTATTAGGTATTGTCATGTGTTTTAATAGGTTTTCCATAAAACTCCCATTTCTATTATTATTCGTTTCATCTTGCACTGCATTATTGGGAGCACAAGCAAATACAATAAGAGTTTGTGATGATCCATTCACGAATATTAGATTTTGATTTGAATTCATCGATCGAGTTTGTATCATGTGTCTACAGCAATCAAATAAATATATTGCCACACCACATTTTTGATGATTGATTTTTTTCTATTATATATTTGATGTTAATAGCATGTTTGATGATATAGTCCTGTTCATTTCCTCGATAATCATAATAATAATCTACTGGTAATAAATAATCCTTATCTTTCATTTGGTTACCATAACCAGCAAAATAGAATAAAATCAAATCATCTTGTTGGATTCTATTAGTGAATGTATCTATTATACTGATGAATTTATGAAGATTGCAATCAATTTCAAGTAATACATGAAAATCAATTCGCTGAAGAATTTTTCCTAGATCTTCGGCATCATTGATACAATATTCTAATGGATTACGTTGATAATTATTGATACCAATAATTAAGGCATGCTTTTGCCGATAAACAACAGACGATGTCATTGTCCTAAAATGTGATAAGAAGAGAGATTTGTTTGATGTTTCTGATCATATTTATATTTGGGACAAAAATTCCTTAGCAAGCATTTTATTACTACTAAATAACTAAAAGAAATTTTTTATTTTCTTCTTTAGACGACACTGATTTGATTCAACATGAATCTTTTATAATGTGTTTGACGACGAAATACTGACAATGCTTTGTTTCATTGTTTTTTTCTACCTACATGATGCACTTCACAATAAAAGAAAGGAAGAAAAAAAATAGTTTACATGTACATTATTAACTAAAAGACTTTGACTTTATTTTTATGCTTTTTTTTGAAGCACAAAGCACAGAAGTTTATTAGTTACACTACTTTGCGTTTCTTTTACTATGACTTATAAGAGTTGGTTTTTTCCAACTTGAAAAAACAACGCAGAATCAACAACTGATACAAAAAAATGTCGAAAATCACTATATGATGTATTTGAACTTTTTTATTAAAGAAATTTCGAAGATACTATCATGGAAACTATTAAACGAAGAATACTCACGAAAAATATTCTTTCGATAGAAAGCAACATATAAACTTTCAATAACAACGTGTTGAAGATCCTATTAGATTAGATAAACGTTGAAATCGGTTGTATTTATTACGTGTGAGTGAGTTAGTTATAGAAGTAGATGAAAAAGAAATAAAGAAAAAAAAATGATTATTTGTATGGAAGAATAAATATAAAAGAATGAAAGAATATTACCAAGTGTCGATCTTTCATTCATAACAACATTTGTTATGATGAAGTTCAGAAGAGACTCAATGAGATTTTCATGTCAAACTGTAAGTGAAAAAAAAGCGCATCAACGTTTGATATTATTCATTCGTATTTTACATCGGCCTTACATGAATTAATAACACGATAATTTTATATCAACGTGCGTTTTCTGAAGCGTATTCGATCAAAATAAATATCTAAGCAAAATAAGTTTATTCAAGGATCAAGGAATGGCGTTTCATTGTTCTAGTTGTAAAATTCAAAGAAATCTTCGATTTGCATATGTGAATAGGCAGATATATTCAATCTGAACTTCCCATACTATTGTAATTTTGATAAGGTTTCCAAACCTTATCAACTAGCTATTCGTCAATGACAAAAGTCTGAAGGTATCATGGCGAACACTAGATATGTGTAACTACCAGAATTAAATTAAAAACATTTGGGTATTGAATAATTGTGAGTTTTGACTCTCCCATTGGACTAAGATACTGATCATAGTAGTAAAGTAATTCAATATGATTATCAAGTTATCAGTCTTCTATTGAAATTTATGATCTGCAGTTTCTGGGCAAATAGGAATGAAACAATTCCAACTTCAATTAATTCTGAAAAAAAAATTCTAATTCTAGATTGATGCGAACAACACTATGCATATTCGGATCAAACTAAAGGTTTTACTACCAAGCCAATAGATTTAAAATATTACATGTTCATAGCGAACCAGTATATTTTGCTTTGACAATAGTGAAGAAAACTTTTCTGATTTAGTTTTATGTCTCAATTTCACATACCTTGAAATTTAAATAACTTGTTCTAGATACACTATGGGCACATAATATTTTAAATTTGTTAGTTTGGCAGTGAGACCTTTAATTTGACCCGAAGATGGCTAATCTTGATAGAGGGTGAATTGCTAGAGAAGACAGTCATAATTTAAAGTCTTAAATTGCTTGAAAGCTGGTTTAAATCAGTGATTAGTTATTTCAATCTTTTTATCATTTTGTCATATTAACTTATTGGTTTCATATGACGATCGACATACCAGTTCATTATTTAATTATGGCTTGTATTTTATTGTTCAGTATTTTATTATGAATGTTCAGTAAATTTTTTATCACATGTTCAGTAGTTCTTGTTCAGTAAATTATACAAGAATTTCAGTAAACAATTCAAAAAGTCCAGTAATTAATTTAAAAAGATCCAGTAGTTAATTTTTTTTTGTTCAGTTTTTTAATAATTTATTTCAGTAAAAAAAACTATAATTTCAATTAACAGAAATTTATTGAATCAATAACGCCTTTTTGCATTTTGTTGGCCTACCACGACGTCTTTTTTCACGAATTTTAACATTTTTAGCAGTAGGTGGTGGTTTCCAGTAGTTTAATCGGAATACCATACAAACAACATGTTTACAAATAAACTTTTTGAAAAATGCTGGACAATTGTACACACCATCTAACCATTTTTATTTATCTACTAGTATAAAGCGAAGGAAAGGGCAGGAGAGTAAAAAAAATATTTTGCCTGATGATGTCATCATCAGCCAACGTGGACCCATTCTTCTATTTACATC